AAAATAACTGATCAACTTTATTTATTATCCAAATAGGATATTGATAGTATTAGTGAATCTGAGAAGACTATGTGTCAAGGGACTAGAATTAGTGAGAAGTAGTTAAGGGCAGTTAGAATTTCTTGTGACATTTGATTCTGTAGACAAAAAGTTCTGTGGGCTAGTTATTTGATCTTGATAGAGATTTTTGGTTTCTAATGATTCCCCAAAGCCTTGGAGCGTTATGCTGCGAAATCAAAGTAGCTGAAGAGGGGCTCTTGACAAATCAGATTCAAATCCTAAATGTCTTTGACTCAGCACTCTTCTGTTTACTCTATGTCTGAATATTCAGATATAATTTTAAATTAATGAACATGTCCATCTCTGTAGCCAATAGATCATTGATAAGACCTCTGCTGAAGTATGGTTCTGTGGTAACCAAGTAATTACAGGTAAACTTAGCTCTTTTTAGCTGATTCTGTGACATCACCTACATATCACATTGTTTTTATGGCAAAGTGGAGTCTGTGTTTTCGACTTATAGGTAAATACAAAAAATATAGCTGGTGTGGTGCTAATATCACCCCTTTTCCTTGCCCAGGTTTTGAATCATGTGAGAAATGAGACAGAATATGGCAAATGGAGGCAAATATCACTTGCAATAGGAGCTCATTTTGGAGATTGTGATTTGGGGGCCTCCTTATTTAAAAGATTGATTTATTTATGACTGTGTTGAGTCTTGGGTGCATCGGGTGGCCTCTTGGTTGCAGTGCTTGGGCTTCTCTCTAGTTGTGGCCTGCAGGCTCCAGAGGGCATGAGCTCTGTAGTTTGCAGCACGTGGGCTCTCTAGTTGACGCATGTGAACTCAGTGGTTCTGGCCCACGGGCTTAGTTACTCCACAGCATGTGGGATCTCGGTTCCCTGATCAGAGATCAAACCCTGTCCCCTGCATTGCAAGGCAGATTCTTAACCACTGGACCACCAGGTAAGTCCTTGCTTTAGGGCTAACACTGAATCCTGACCCTCCCAGTTACAACAGTCCTGAGTACCCAGGTGCTCTCCCAGAAGGGAAAGGCAGGATCAGAGGTGAGTAGTCCCAATTTATTCTTCTGAGATAAGTCAGTACACCTCACTTGGGGCAGAGTGAATAAAGGCTCTGAGAGGCCAGGAGCATGGCACTTATTGAGCTGCTCCACATGGAAGGAAATATCAGCAAGGAGCAAGAAGCATTTCCCCTCCTGAGAAGTTCTATGGATTTGTCTTTGTAGTCCTGGAGTGTTGCCGGCTGGTGTGGCCTGGGTTCAAAAAGGCCTAAGAAAGGATGACTGTGGATTCATGCTTTCAGGACTGCCTGACCTTTTTGTTTTGCCAGGGAAGAGTCAGGAAGGCAGATGCCTAGCAGATCTCCATCTCTTCCTGGTCACACTTTCTTGTGTCCTCAGTAGAGAACTGGAGTAGAAAGCCACGGCAGACACTGACACTGTTGTAGTGGAGTGTCATTAACAGACGTTGGTAGCAGGACTCTGTATACTGCTCTCTTGATGTCTTGAACCCAGGAAAAGGTAGAGCAGTGGGCTCTTCCTGTTTATGAAACAGGATTTGAGACACAGCAGCTAATTATGTGACCTCAGGCTACTTTCTTAATTTTCCTAAAATCCTGGTTAGCCTTTTGTAAAGTGAATGTATTATGTAGAAATACCATGTAAAAATGGTGGGAAGGGAGAACATATTTGTGAGACATATATAAAGAACACTGACAACTCAAAAATAAGGAGACAAACCAGTCCACTAAAAATGGACAAATGATTTGAAGCAAATATTTTTAAGAGACATGAGTAGCTAATAAGCACATGATAAGAGGCTTCATATCATTTGTCATCAGGAAATGCAAATTAAAACCGAAGTGAGATACCACTACATACACTTTAGAATGGCTAATATAAAAACTGGTAATAACCAAGTATTGGCAAGGCTGGATAGCAACTGGAACTTCTATGTTACTGATGGGAATGTAAAATGGAACAACTTTGGAAAACAATTTGAGAGTTTATTAAAAGTTAAACATATACCTATCATATGATGTGGCCATTCCACACCTAAGTATTTACCCAAGAGAAATGAAAGCGTATGACCACACAGAAACTTGTGTAAAAATACTCATAACATCTTTATTTGTAATAGTCAAAAACTGGAAACAACATAAATGTCCATCAAGAGATGAATAGATAAACCATGGTATGTCCAGCATATCTACACAATGGAATATTGTTCAGAAGTAGGAAAAAACAAAACTATTAAATATACACGATAATATGGATGAAACTCAAAATAATCATGCTGAGTCAAAGAAGCTAGATCAAAAAATAAACCCCTTCCAAACCCAATACTTTGGCTCCAATATTTTGGCCTCCTGGTGCAAAGAGCTGACTCATTGGAAAAGACCCTGATGCTGGGAAAGATTGATGGCAAAAGGAGAAGTGGGCAACAGAGGATGAGATGGTTAGATGGCATCAGTGACTCAATGGACATCAATTTGAGCAAACTCCAGGAGGTAGTGAGGGACAGGGGAGCCTGGTGCATGCTGCAGTCCAGGGGGGTCACAAAGAGTTGGACACAACTTAGCGACTGAACAACAGCAACAAACCCAGTACATCTGTATGACTCCATTTGTATAAAATTCTAGAAAATACAAATTAACCTGTAGTGACAGAAAGCAGATCAGTGGTTACGTTAGATTGCAGGTATGGGAAAGGTTGAACACAAGAAAACTTTTGGGAATTATAAGAACATTGGATGTCTTGATTATGCTGATGGCTTCATGGGTGTGTATACATGTCAAAAGGCTTCCCAGGTGGCTCTAGTGGTAAAGAACCTGGCTGCCAGTGCAGGATATATAAGAGACATGAGTTTAATCTCTGAGTTGGAAAGAGCCCCTGGAGGAGGGCATGGCAACCCACTCCAGTGTTCTTGCCTGGAGAATCCCATGAATACAGGAGCCTGGTGGGCTACAGTCCATAGTGTTGCTAAGAGTTGGACACGAGTGAAACAAGTTAGCATATATACGCACACATGTCAAAGCTTTTAACATGTTCCATTTACATAAAGTATACCTCAATAAAATTGTAAAAGAAAGCAAAAAGAAGTAGGGAAGGAGGAAGTACTGATGCACAGTAATATGGATGAATTTCACAAACAGTGTGCTGAGGGAGAGAACCCGGACACTAAAATAGTACATGTCATATAACTCCATTTATATACAATTCCAGAAAAACCGAACTAATCTCCAGTGACAGAAAGTAGGTCTGTACTTGCCTGGGTTAGAGGGTGGAGGAAAGAATGGACTGCAAAAGGGCAAGAGGAAACTTTTGGATGTGATAGAAACGTTCTGTATCTTGATTGTAATAGTGGGTTCACATGAATATATATCTATCAAAGCTCACTGAATTTTATACTTTAAATGGATTCATGTATTGAAGTAAATTATATCTACCTCAATAAAGTGAGTTTAAAAAGAATTTTAAAACGCCTTTGTTTAACTCTTGCTTCCAGAAATCATTCAAGCTGAGAATAACACAAAACATATGGGCCTGAGAGGTATCTTTGCTTGGAAAAATTACTTAAATGGGCCTCTCAGCTATGTAGGAGTTAATCCCAAATCCTTTTCCTGAAGGAAGACTTTGGGGACAACAGTAAACTCACCTGCTGTGTAATAGCATAAAAATTTTTGCTTTCACTAAGGTTAGAGTTAACATTCTGGCTAATATTCATCAGGTGTTACTGGCTTCATTCCTCTGCCTGGGGCCAAATTGCAGAGGGAGTTGGGATCCTGGACTTTTAAAGAGGGAGGATTGAATTAAAAAGACCTTCATCCAGGACTTCTCTGGTGGTCCAGTGGCTAAGACTCTGTGCTTCTAATGCAGGGGGCCCAGGTTTGATCCCTGGTCAGGGAACTAAATCCCACATGCCACAACTGAGTTTGAAACCCACAACTAAAGATCCCACAAGCCACATCCCATGTGTCACAACTAAGACCCAGCACAGCCAAATATATATATATATATGTATGTATGTATGTATGTATGTATGTATGTATATATATTTTTAAAGAGCCAGCAAAAAAAAAATTTTTTTTAATAAATTACAAAAAAAAAAAAAGAGCCAGCAAAGTTTAAAAAAAAAAAAAAGACTCATCCAAGAGATAAACCGGTTCCTGAAACATGAGAGGTCAGGGGCTAAGGAACAAGACGTGAGTAGGGGAACTTCAAGGGGGGACGTGGCTTGTGAACAAGCAGGAGTCACGATATCAAGTAATCTTTTTTTAGTTATTCTCTTTCTTTCCCTCCTTGACCTGTCACCCACAAGCTCTCAGTAAAGTTAAATGCTACAACATTATATTAACTGCTTTTGAGAACATTAGTGGGGGGCCATGTCCAGTTACAGTGATATGTGGGGAGCCAGGGAAACTTGGAGACGTGAATACACAGTTGTTGCAAGTGGTCCTCTAAGATACCCACAGTAGTGATCCACAGCAAAAGGTGATAAAAGCTCAGCAACAATCAGTCTGGGGAAACACATGAGGACACCTCAGGGCTTCTCAGAACTACAGCTGGAGGAAACTGGATTTCCTGCACTCCAACTCAGCACGAGGGGCCCAGACTCTATTACTGGGTGTTTAGAGGAATGGTGACCTCCTAAAATGTGATAACTTGGGGATGTTTGGGATATAAAGACACAAACATTCCCCCCTGCACCCCATAATCTCCCAAGGACGTTTGGATGGACTGTCCTGAGTTATTTTGGACTATGAGACAGAAAAAGTAATCCGTAAGTTCTGGTTCACCTCTTTGATCTCAAAAGCTCGAGAGAGACCGATGTTATACGACCAAACCCTAACTAGTAATTGCCTCTGTTGGATTTGACGTCAGTTGATGACTGGACTTTGGACCCGAGAGAGAGTTTAAAAGAAAGATAGCTGGAGGCAAATCATTTTGTTCCTGGATTACTTAGCAAGAACATCCAAAATGAAAGCCTTCGCTCACCTCATTCTTCTTGCCCTCCTTTGTCCATCCTTAGGTAAGGAACACTTAAAATTTTTTCATTCCTTTAATCATGTTTGTTGTCTCTGAGATAGAATCAGCAGGCTTAAGCTACTAATTCCCACAGCCCCATTAGGTGGACTGTGTTGTGGATGAAGTTTCCTAGGGGCTCAAAGGCACAAGGCATTTCAGTCTGTGATGAAGGCAGATAGAACAGTAGTGAAAAGAAATTTCTGGACCTGGATTTGGGGTTCAGAGAGCCAGAGATTTGCCCTTCAAAGTCCTGAGGCCAGACAAGAGCAATTTAGTAGTTCCAAGGGCTTAGTGCCCTAGAATCTCCTCTTTAATCCCCCAAATGTCGTTTGGGTCCTATTGCAGAGCATGGACCTGGTTTAATCCCTGAATGAGGCATCAAGAGTTTTCTGCCCCTTATACATGGGAATTAGTGTTTACCTCTGGGCAAATCCCTTAATCCTCTGAGTATTGGTGGCACTTCTGTCAAATGTTGATGCTTATATCTGTTCCACAGGCACTGTTGGGCACAAGGTAAGCCCTTGATAAGTGAGAATAGCAGCAGGAGAAGGGTAGCAGCAGTCAAAATGGCCAGCTGGTCAACTATTCTCTTGTTCCTGGGAGAACACTCGCCTACAACTGGTTAAGCCAGGCCCTGTTCAAGGTGAAGAGCCAGATTCTACCATCCAGGGGTGTCCAGACCCAAGGGGAAATCTGGTAGCATCTTCAGCAGTTTTCTATATCCGAAGGTTTAGGAATAGCTTCCTCACTAAAACTTTTCTTTTAATTATTTCTTTTAAACTGGCCATCATTCTCAGAGCTCTTGGAGACAATTAAGGGTTCTAGAAAAGTGATTATGAGATCACTAAGAGTTTACCACTTCATGTGTCCAGGGATTCCTAAGAGTGGCAAAAGGTGACTTTGTTGATTACCATTGCCCTTAGGGCAAAGATCATGTCTATTCATCTTACTCTTTTTTTTTTATTGACCTATATGAATAAGTGAAATAGGCTGGTTTAATAAATAATCAGATTCAGAGATACAAAAATTATTTTTACTAATTTTGTAAGCTAAAATTGCAATTAATTAAAATTATTATTTAATCTTTATTTTGGAAACATTAAAATAAAAGATATTTTCTCTCTTACTCTACTTTTGTTTGGAAACTGACCTCTGAGAGCTTTTGTCTTCATCAAAATGCCTGTTACAAACATTGCTTTGTTTTGCAGTATTCAGTACAGAAATTTATTGAACTTTGGGAGTGATATTTAATAGGATTAAATTAGAACATCAAATAATTAAAATTATAGTTATTTTAAAACATGTCATCTTACTCTTTAAAAAGTTCCTATGTCTAGAATTAAGAATTGGGTACACATCACTAGAAAACATCTTGAAAGAAGTTTGATACATTAAATACCTTAATGGGGGTATTTTTCATCATTGTTTAAGCATACCCCCTTCTGTACCATCCCTCAACTAATATGTCCTATAATGGAAAATTGGTGTAATTGCCATGAACTGTTAAGGACAAAAAGGAAGCCACTTACAGTTGGTAAACAGCGTCCCCTGGTGGCATTTTCAATTGTCCTCACTAAGAACTATGAGGAATATTAAACTCAGACTGACAGTTCTGCAACTACAGACATAAATGATATTACATCTCATAATAATATATGTTGATATTAATATATATATTTCACATTATAGTAATAAATTATAATTAATAACAATTAATACAACAAATGATATTAACTTCATATTTTTCTAACCAGCTGAGCTAACAGGCCAACTGCCATCATCGTACTTTTCAGTAACTTTTTTTTTTTTTGCCATGATGCACAGCTTGTAGGATCTCAGTTCCATAATGAGGAATGGAACCCAGGCCATGGCAGTGAAAGCCCGGAATCCTAACCACTAGGCCACCCACCAGAGAACTCCCCAGTAACATTTTTCGTTTTGTCTGTTCAATTTTTAATTTCATTTATGTCGGGTTTTTTTAGAAGTAGTCATGTATTTTTATTTTTAATATAGTCCACTGAATTTATTTTCAGGAAAAACTGGATTAGGTACTAACTAGTATTAAATAATAGCAACTACCATTATATGTTCAGTGTTTTGTTTTCTGAAACTTGATATCTTTATTCTTCCAGCCGTGGTCCAACGCAGTGCAGCCTCAGGTGCCTCTTCAAACATAGATATTACAGCTACTACCGTCATAAGTACACCTACTTCTACCACATCTACTATAACTCCTACCACCACAAGTACAACTACCACAGATACTACAACCCCTACCACAGATACTACAACTACCGTCACAAGTACACCTACTTCTACCACATCTACTATAACTCCTACCACCACAAGTACAACTACCACAGATACTACAACCCCTACTGTCCCAAGTACATCTACTTCTACCACAGATACTACAACCCCAACCACAGATACTACAACTACCGTCACAAGTACACCTACTTCTACCACATCTACTATAACTCCTACCACCACAAGTACAACTACCACAGATACTACAACCCCTACCACAGATACTACAACTACCGTCACAAGTACACCTACTTCTACCACATCTACTATAACTCCTACCACCACAAGTACAACTACCACAGATACTACAACCCCTACCACAGATACTACAACTACCGTCACAAGTACACCTACTTCTACCACATCTACTATAACTCCTACCACCACAAGTACAACTACCACAGATACTACAACCCCTACCACAGATACTACAACTACCGTCACAAGTACACCTACTTCTACCACATCTACTATAACTCCTACCACCACAAGTACAACTACCACAGATACTACAACCCCTACTGTCCCAAGTACATCTACTTCTACCACAGATACTACAACCCCTACCACAGATATTACAACTACCGTCACAAGTACACCTACTTCTACCACATCTACTATAACTCCTACCACCACAAGTACAACTACCACAGATACTACAACCCCTACTGTCCCAAGTACATCTACTTCTACCACAGATACTACAACCCCTACCACAGATACTACAACTACCGTCACAAGTACACCTACTTCTACCACATCTACTATAACTCCTACCACCACAAGTACAACTACCACAGATACTACAACCCCTACTGTCCCAAGTACATCTACTTCTACCACAGATACTACAACCCCTACCACAGATATTACAACTACCGTCACAAGTACACCTACTTCTACCACATCTACTATAACTCCTACCACCACAAGTACAACTACCACAGATACTACAACCCCTACTGTCCCAAGTACATCTACTTCTACCACAGATACTACAACCCCTACCACAGATACTACAACTACCGTCACAAGTACACCTACTTCTACCACATCTACTATAACTCCTACCACCACAAGTACAACTACCACAGATACTACAACCTCTACTGTCATAAGTACATCTGCTACCACAGAGAGTACAACTCCTAACACTGCTACAAGTACCTCTACTTCTCCCACAAGTAGTACAATTCCTGCTACCCCCTCAAATACATCTACTGCTACCATACCTACTACAGGTAAGAGCAAGTCCCTCGAAGCTCCTCACTAAGGAGTCACAGCATTGTGAAGGATGGTATGTATGTGTGTTCTGCCAGAGAAGGGAAGTGTGTATAAAGAAACCCAAGGTGTCCTTGGATATAAAACCCTGGAATTAAAAAGTCTGGGTCACACAGGCTAATAGTGATGGCAGAGATGCTAAAAGATTACCTGCAGTTCCATTCTATTCTTTCCTCAAGCTATTTGCCAGATGTGGAATATTTTTATAAACTTGGACTTTGTGAAAGCTACTTTTGTAGTTTCCCTTTTCTTAGGAGATTTTTGGTTATAGTTTCTGTTTCTCTGAGGTGAGGTGTTAATAAGCACTGATGAGATCTCTAGTCCCACTACTAGAACCTTGGTCTACTGAAGAAAGGAGTCAGTTTTACCCTGATTCTTCATCAAATGTTATTGAAAACATGTGACATTACCAGGGCTATGGTCCAAAGGACAGATGTTTAGGGATACTGTCTAAGAGATGATGATTGACCTTCGGCCTAAGTTATTGAAACAGGAAACACTCGCTTCATTTCCCAAAGTTTGGTATAGAATGGAGGTCAGTAAACTTTATCAGTGAAGGCAAACTAATAAATATTTTAGGTTTTGTGGGCCATAATAAGATTTCTGTTACAACTACCCCACTCAGCCATATCAACATCAAAGCAGCCAATATACAATATACACATGAATGTGCTGATTGTGTACTGACAAAACTTAGTTTACAAAAACAGAGGAGGACTGGCAAGAATTGGCTTATGAGTCATAGTTTTCCAACCCCTGGTCTAAAAGAGTCCTCACACCTATGTTTAAAGGATCTAGATAAACCCTATTATTCTCAGTTAGGGAGACTGAGGCTCAGTGAGGGCAGCCACTTGCCCAGGGTCAAAGAGCAAGTTGATGTCTTCCTATACATTCTTCTTTTGGCTTCCTCAGTACTTTTTGGTAGATCTAAGAAATGAATGATTAAGGAAATGGAGCCAGAGGCTGCACTGAAACCTGCTTCCCAATCTTCTTTCATGTTTGGAGGGGCCACTGTGAAAGCTAGGTAAGGAGGGACACAGCTACACAATCAGTTCCCCTGTAGTCAGGAAAGAGAGCTTTTCTATGCCATTTCTGCTCCCCTAGACCCTCTCTCAGAGTAAGGCAGCCTTCTTGTGTTCTGGCCCTACGTTAACTGTGGGGCATGGGCCAAACCAATTCTTTTGGCTTCAACATACTCACCTGTAATAAGAGATGATTGAACTAAATAGCCACAAAATCCTTTTCCCACTGTAACATCCTGTGACTTTATTCCTGGCACACAGAAATACCGAATCTATCCTTTATTGCCAAGGAGAAAGCCACACCAGGAGTTATCTGACCGGTATATCCAAAATGGCTCTGCACTTGATTTCTTCCCTAGGATTTTCCAAACCTTCCTTGCGGTGTGGTTAAGGCTTTGTTAAAAAGTCATTTACTTTACTTAGAATATTGGTTAACACCCTGTTAGAGAGCTGACCCTTATTGTTGTTTGTGAGATACTGCACTATGCCTCCCGTGTCCAGGTAGCCTCTTTTTTTTTTCTTTTACTCTTAAAAATATTCTTTTTAGATAGAATTTACTTCTTAGAGAAGTTTTAGATTCACAGCAAAATTGAGAGAAATGTAGAGAGATTTCCCATATTTCCCTGCCCCCATACCTGCACAGCCTCCCTTATTATCAACTTTCCTCATCAGAGGGTACATTTGTGACAACTGATGAATCTACACTGACACATCATAATCACCCAAAGTCCAGTTTACATGAGGGTTTACTGTTGGTTTTGTATATTCTATAGGTTTGGACAAATGTAGAATGATATGTATCCATCATAAACACTGTTTTCACCTTCCTAACAATCTGCTGTACTCTGCCTATTCACCCCTCCCTCTCTGCTAACACTTGGCAACTGCTGATCTTTTGTTGCCATAGTTTTGCCTTTTTCAGAATGTCATGTTGTTGGAATCACACAGTATGTAGCCTTTTCAGATAGTCTGCTTTCATTTAGCAATATGCATTTAAGATTCCTCCATGTTGATTTTCAAGGCCTGAACATGAATAATATTTCCTTGTCTGGCTGTACCAGTTTGTTTATTCACTTACCTACTGAAGGGCATCTTGATTGCTTCCAAGTTTTTGCAATTATGAATAAAACTGCTCTAAGTATTCATTTGCAGGGTTTTGAGTGGAAAAATGTTGGTAAATACTAAGTGAATACTTAGCATTTATATTGGGTAAATACTAAGGCTTGCACTTGCTGGGTCATATGATTAAGTTTAGTTTTGTAAGAAACTGCCAACCTGTCTTCTGAAACGGCTATACTTTATATTCCCACCAATATGAGAATTCCTCACTAGCACTATTATATTTTTTAATAAAGGTGAACTAGGCCCATAGTTATGGAAAAAAGAGCTTAAATGGGGCAAAAGTATATGCGGTAAAAACTGAATTTCCCTCCTCTCCAGACTCACAGATAGAGAAAACAAACTTTGGTAAAAACCAAAGAGGAGAGGGACAAATTAGGAATATTAGATTAGCAGATACAAACTACTATGTATAAAAGAGATACGCAACAAGGATATATTATATAGTACAGAGAATTATAACCATTGTCTTATAATAATTTCTAATGTAGTATAATCTGCAAAAATATTGAATCACTATACTGTACACTTGAAACTAATATTGTAAATCAACTATAATTCAATAAAAAAGAGACCATGTTATATACATTGTACCTTATATGTAGTTTTTTTTTTTAAGCAACTATTTCCACCTATGGAACCATAAGAATTTTAAGACAACTCTGAAGGTTGTCAGTCACTCAAAGGTTGTCAGCTATTCTGAAATCAAAGCTCAGAATCATTTCATTTGACAGAGGGAAATGGCTAGTCAAAATCCCCATTTGGCTAACTGGTGATTTCTCTTCTCAGATCCCATCAGTTTTCCAAAGATAGGAAAGATGTTGCACACTGTCTGGTCTAGGAATCCTGGCCAGTGGTGTAGAAACCATAGTAATATTCTTCTCACCATTTATTCAGTCATCCACTCAGAAAGCCAGAAAGTAGAATGGCCCTTCATCATTTCCTCTTAGAATTTTCACTGAGTTAATCCACTTTGTTCCCTTCCCTTTCCTCACAGGTCTGTATACCATGTATGCTAACCAGAGTATAATATCTAGTTTTGGGGGGCGGGGAGTTTTTTGCCTGGTCTTCCCTATAAGTCAGTCATTATTCTCTTCCTAAAAAAATATGGTGCTTTCTCTAAAATGGTTTTGGAGCATCTCACCTAGTATTAGAGGAGCAGACATCAAAGTTCTGGAGGATCTGTGAGAGCCAAAGTATTTCCTTACTCCTTGGAATTAGAACACTGGAATCTCTTTCTGAGCAGACTGTTACTCACCAACCTCTGACCTTTACTGTTGACAAGTGCTTGGCTCTAGAATTTTAGCAACAATCTTCCTAGAAACATAAGAAAATATCTGTTTGTTTCTAGCTGTTCTAAGGGTATACCATGGCATAACATGGCCAAGTAATAGAAAGTGCCCAGGAGGGAGACACGAAGATTTAAAAGTATATTTCCAGGTGTTATTTATTGTCACTTGTGGATTTTTAATCTCTTTCTACTGTATCTCAGGCTACAGCACACCTTGCAAAGAGGATTCCTGTCAGGGTGGTTCTTTGTGTGTTAATCTGCATAATGATTATGTTTGCCTGTGTTCAGAGGGATATTACTATAATTCTTCCACATGCAAAAAAGGTGAGTTACAAAGGATGAACAATGGAGATATGCATCTCAGGCCTAAAGGGAATAGAAAACTTAAAATAATGACAAAAAGAGCTTCTGGAATATTAAACGGAGAGGAAAATTTGGAGGCAACAAAGGCCAGCCAAGCAGAAAAAAAGTTTCTGTCATTATCTCAGTGGAACCTAGTGGGAGAGGAAATGGATCAACTCAGATATGTGAACTAGTTCTAGAGGTATGGGAGGGAATGGGTCCCTTCACTTAATCTGGCTGAAGGATCAGTGCCATGGGGTCAAAATGAAAATGATAGGTGTAGAAAGGTAGGTGTGTAAAATGATAGGTATAGGTGTGTACAACTACAAAGACTGCATAAATACACAGCAGTGCTGTTACATGGGGACACTGATGCAAAATGAGGTGATTTCCTATAACGACAGAGTCAGACAAGCCAGGAACCTGGTCTCTGACTTTGGCTCAGTTTTTTTGTTATAGGATTTGCTTGTACCATAACACCAAATCTTATTTTTGGAGACTTAAGAACTTCTCAGCTCTGCAAATGGACTTTAAGAGCAAACTGACACTACACTTTTTTGGTTAGATCAGCTGGGTGCTATAAAAGTCCAAGGCTGTTTCCTGAGCTATATGTTTTTGTCTGTTTTATGAAAAAGAAATATCCCTTCTTGCCAACTGCACTGGAAATGAATGCATTGTGTTGGCACAGGGATTAGAGATATCCCCAAGGCCAAATGTTGTTTCAAAGGCTGTTCCTATTGTTAGCATGAGTAATCTCATTTCGGGGATCCACTCTAAGTAAATGACCCCAAATATAGAAAAGTTTTGTGCATTGAGATGTTTGTGCAAATTTTTTTCCTTTTGAATAATTAAAAGCATTGAAAACAAAGAGTGACTGCATCAATGAAGGAAAGATGTGTTTCATAGAATATTATATAGCATTTAAGATGATAATTATGAAGACTGAGTAATGATTTGGAAAAATGTTTACTATTAAGAGTAAGTAAAGAGGACTCATGATATAAACTTGCAATTATAATGATATAAATTAGACACAAACACACATACACAAAAGAGCTGGGAGAAATATACCAAAATGAGAAATAATTGTGATAGGTTAGGTTGGGTTTGGGGTAATGTTTTTCATATTTTCAGAATTACTGTAGTATCGTCATATGTTTAGAATTAAAAAATAATCTATGCTTTAAGCAAAATAGACCTTCTTTACATTGAATATCACAGAAAGATTCTGCTTGAATTTCAGGAAAGATATTCCCTGGTACTATTAAGGTCAAAATATCATACACAGCTGCATTGGAAAATAAAACTTCTGTGCTGTATCAGGAATTATACATTCTAGTTACTACATTTGTAAGTATTTTCCAAACATCCTTCCTCTATAAATATTCTTTATTCTAACACTGACTTGTATAGACTGGCATTTGGGTGGTACAGCTGGTACAGCTATCCCAGTGTTTCAAACAGTGAGATGCACCCTTATTGGTCTGTAAACAGTAGCTGTTCCAAATTCCCAGCGCCACTGCTTCCTGGCGCCTGGGTTCTTCCTCTAGGACCTGGGGCCTCCCTGTGATCCTGCAACCAGAGGTAATAGCTGGCACGGCTGAGGGCCTTCAGAAGCTACTTCTAGCCATGCCGTACTCTTTCTTACAGAGGCTGATTAATGCTGTTGAAATGATTTCCATAGAATTGAAGAGAAAAAAATTGAAAAATTGTATTTTTTTCTTTTTATAGTCAAATCTGCATACATTTCTAGACTAGTCTGGCTTCTTTAATGTCTGGAAGAGGAACTACGTCTGAATTAATAAACATTACTTCTTTATCCAGTTGTCAAAAAGGTCAAAATGAACAACAGCTTCATTTCATGTTGATTACTGTGAGTGTGTTGACATGAGGGGATGGAGATCTTTATTCTGGAACCACATATGCCAGGAAGGCCTGAAAGGTCTCAGAGAGGGTGTCCAGCCAGTGTTTCTCAAAATTTAGTTTTGAAGGGAAAAAATATTAGGTTGGAAATATATCTCAGAACTCTAGTTTTGAAGGGAAAAATATTAGGTTGGAAATATATCTCAGAACTCTAGGTGGAGAAAGACTTTTAAAAACTAATGTCTTAATGGGGGCCCAGGAAGCATGGTGGCCATGAAAATGGACCACAAAGTACAGAATAACAGCATCTAGCGACAGATTAAAAATTAGGTAAAGAGGAGAAAAACACCTCTTTTAAGTCAAAAATCAAAAGCTGTCAAAGATCCTTGGAGTACGGCATGAGAATGAATGTGAGGTTTGTCAGAGTTTTATGTTTTATTAGTTGTGTGTGCTTTTGGCATGACACTTTAACCCTTAATCTTGTCTTCTCAGTTTTCAAATGAAACTTGATTAGATTAGAGGCTCTAAAGTAGAAGGTACCATGCTTTATGGGTTTTGTGTTTTTAAAGAAACCAATAAAGCATTTTATACAAATGTTTTTTAAAAAATAACATTTTGCTCTATGACTGTGTGTTTCCATTTGAAATTGCATCATTGTAAAAGAGTTTTGTTATTAGAATTGGTAAAACGTGAAAAAATATTATCCAGATGGTCTTACAGATAGTATAGGGAGAGCAAGTGCTCGTGACCAAACAGCCGGCGCCTGGCACTGCAGCGATCAAAGCTGTGTCTGCTGTATCCTGGGCTTGCCTGAGCCCCTTTGCCTTACCTCTTGTGCATGAGGGGCCTGCTGGCCGTGACTGAGCTTCTTACCCTGGATCTACATTCCAATCTCCTGCTCAGACGATATTTGGCACATTGAGGATAGGCAACACCAATGTTTCCATTTCCAGGGAATCCTTCAGTTGTCTCATGTGGCTTTACTGAGCACTGGCTACTGTGGCCACTGCACTTCCCAACATGATTTGGGTATATGAGTATCCAGAAGCCTTTTCCTGCTACAGATCTAGGCCCCTGGTCTTCAGAGACTAGTTTAGTGACTTGTTCAGTCAGATGCTAATGGTCCCAGGGGTGCCAGGGAGGGGATAGAGCACTTTATAATATCCAAGAAACTTTTAATCTGAAAGGGATACGCCAGAACTCCTTTGCAACTCCTGGAGATAGGAAAAGAAAGACAGTTTACTTATTTTAATGTCCTCTTAGCAGATCGTGTGGCCGGGGCAGTGCCAGCTCAGGCCCTGAGAAGCCTCTCTGGGTCTGTTTTGTCCCCAGCTAGATCCAAGTGGACAGGCTGCATAGGGATTTGAAGTTTCCCTGTTGTGCTGTACCTGGCATTTTACGTATATTTCTAATTCTCAAAGTAGCCACATGGGGAAGTTGGTACTATGATACTGTTTAGCAGATGGCGTAGGTAGTCAAGGGTCAGGAAGGCTAAGTAAACTGACCGAAGGTCACCCAGCTGGTGCATGAGGAGGAGGAATTTGAACCCAGACCTGCCTGACCCTCAGGGCTGCTTCTCCTCCCCTACTGGCTCTGTTGTGCAGTGGGGCCGGGCAGGCCTGTTTGCATAATTCCTGTCCCCCTGCCCAGCCTTTTGGCCCTTCAGATCAGTAAGTGTATATCCTCAAATCCTTGAAGGATGACCTGGAAGAAGGAAAAAAGAAAAGGAAAACCTTTTTCCTATGCAGATGCTAATTTTGCAATCTTTTTTTGGAGATTAAGAAATTTAAATGGCCAATTGTCAACAGTGGAGCTGGATAGAACCTTGGAGGTCATCCAATGGACTTGATCCTAAGTAGACTCCAGTGCTCTGATGGTTTACAGAAATACCAGCTCTTCCTGATATTTAAAAGAATTAAAGAGAATACAGACATATTCTGGATACAAAGCTGCTCAGCCTTAACTAGAGTATCAAATTTATTTGAATTTGACTAGAATAAAAGAAATGTTTTACTATCTGTTAAAATTACACTGGTTTCCATGATCTTTTAAAGTGTGGCAAAAAATAATAAAATTCTTGAATTATAAAAAGTTGCACCAACCCAGTCCAAAATTCATGTAATAAATATCAAGACTGGGGTCCAAAGAGAGGAAGATATGTCAAAGGTTATGATTTCATATTTAATTTCTTCAATCATCAGTCAGCTTGTGTTTGTTGATTGTTTCATGGAGATGGCCCTATACTGAGTGCTATGGGATGGAAGTTGGAGATGGGCAGGTGTGGATGGTATCATAAGAAAGAGAAAATGAACCCATTCTTGGCATCAAATAACTTACTTTCTAGCTGAGACCTCCACCCTACCTCCACCTCACCCCTGCCAGAGGTCCCAGCTTCATCTCTGGCCACTTGTTTACAAGTATCTAGAGTTGTCTGCTCTTAGAACACAACTCAGGCCTAATAAGATCTACCAGTGCTAGAGCCCCTTCCAGTTCACAAAGCTATGTATCATGTATTCTATCTCATTTTCTACACATTAGAGCCCTATTCAGTGGGAATTACTGCTGTCTCAAATTTCCCAGTGAGAAAGTGAGGTTCAAAGAAGTCAAATTTTGCAAACGCTGACAAATGGAGAAACTTGATGTTTCAGCTGTCTTCTGAGGCACACTGCTCCCAAGCATTGGTGTGAGCTATTCCTTCCTCTGTCTACTCCCTGGACCCACGCCACCTACTGAAATGCTTTATGGCCTGTTTCCTTTATGAAGCCCTGTCTTGTGCTCTGAGACTGGAAGAGCATTTCTTTGAACTTCCATGGTAGATTGTATTGTCTCTGGCACTTACCTCTGTCAGCTTCATGGTGTAATCTGAGGTCACATGGTGTAACTTGATCATAGGCTGGGTCTGCCCATCTTGGTAGTCTATGTCTCTGGCATAATGCCTTGGGAAGGTAAGCATTTTAGTCTTCCTTGGGTAAATTGATGAGTGTATGAAGTATGCATATAGGTAAGTCTAACAAAGATGCAAAACTTCACATGATTTGAAAAGAGAAAACAAGTCAGTCACCCTATATTTAAGAGTATTGATTTGACTGAGTGCTTCGGGTTTCCATCTTTTTCCTGGGTAGCTCTGACTTATACCAGAATCATCCTATTTTAGAGCAAAAATTGCTGAAAGGTGTTACAGCACATGTAAAGAATAAATTTGCTGTGTTACATAAATGAGTTTAGAAATGGGTTTATATTAAACATCTAGATATACTATTACTTTTCCCCCTTGCTGTAGTTGTTATTAAATCTGTTCTTCTTTTCCACAGTTTAAAGATACATTTAATATTTCTGATTACGGACAGACTGTAATTGTTAAAGTAAGGTAAGTTTGCTGTGGACCCACAGAGTACTTTGGAAGCAGGCTGTGTTCCTTAACTTTTAGTCTCCTCTTGCATTCCCCATATGGAACTGAAGTCCTAGGGTGGCCAGTCACAAGTCAAGAAGAGGTGGTCAGTCTGAGTACCACAAAGGGCCCTGACTCAGATGCACATTGACCCTGGCCTGCGTGGGCAGAGTGTAGCCTGGGGATAGTAAGATTGTCCCTGTGATTGGCTACTTAGCAACTTGCTCACATGGTCCAGGATATCACATGAATCTGTTTGGTTTGATCCCTTGGCTACAAACCACACCTGGCCATTCCCTGGAATGTGCATCCCAGGGGGCCCAGAGGAGAATGAATGGTTCATGGCCATCTCTTCCTTCATAGGGGGAAATGAGGCAGACAGGATGACCCCAGTTCACATGACTGGTCACTGAAGGGCCTGTTGTGAGCTCTTTCTATAGTAAGAACAGGCATGCAGTGAGTGTATCAGCATGTAGTGACCAGGGCTGTGTGCTATTTAGAAACCCAAAGAGGTAGAGGATTCTCAAGAAGTTAGTGATTCCATCTTGGCCTTCTCTGAAGCGTATTGATACACAAGCGCTGCAGGCTGAGGAAAGAACTCTAAGGTAAACAGAATCGTGCAGAAAAAGCAGCTCTAATGTACTGATATTTCTGTGGTTTTATTATCACATCTATATTCATAAACTTTGTCAAATCCTTTGTGGAAAAAGATGAATTAAGAGAAAACCCCCTAAAAGTAGTGAATTTTGATCTGGGCGATGAGCAAGGGGCACGTGTGACTGGTAGCCAGGAGGCAGTCTAACGGGAGGCACAGTACAGGCAGCAGGCAAAGAGGCTGGGCCCCAACACAGTGGCTGGAGGACAGACAACTACTGAAGGCTATACATCATTGAAGGGTGTTAGGCTTGGTTTAGGGGACAACAGGGAGTTCATGCATCAGGATGACTGGATAAAAGCAGGAACATCGAGGTATGACAGCAGTAGGTAGTAGGTAAACCTCTCCTTGAATCCTGGCCTTGGCACCTTATTGCTGTGTAACTGGGTGGGTGTTTTAACCTCTCTGAACTTTTATTACCTAATCTGTATATCTGGTTTACTCCGATCAACTTTCCCAGAACCCTGTGGGGAGCAAATGAGATACTGTTGGAAAGCTTCCCTGTGCAAAGTACCTGGCATGTAGTCAGTTTCAACATGTATTAGTTCCCATCTGTTTGCCTTCCAGAATAGGGGACCCTGCAAGTGTGATGGTAGAGCTGGTCCCATGGAGTCATTTGGTGGGGAGTGGTTCCCTGAAACTGTGGCACTCCTTCCATTTTTAGGGAGTTACTGAAAGGGAGCCAGGGGAGTTTGGTGACAACACCTTACCTGTGAACTCAGTGTCCTGAGAGGAGCAACTCCCCCAGCTTGAGGGCAGTGGTGGGCAGATGGACCTCAGTCTCACTTCAGAGGGCATTTCTTAGGCCCCAGACCAGTGCTCTCTCCTCAGAATCCCCAAGCTCTTTATTTATTGCCTGAATGTTGGAATTGGAAGGATCCCCAGAATTCCTCCTACACTCCAATCTCTCTTTGGACAGAGGACACTCAGGCTGAGGGAAGTTAGGACTGGTCTTGGGCCACAGAAGATGGCGGCTCCCCTGGGTCTAGATCTCTGGGTTCTTAAACTTGGAGGCTAGTGCTCTGGTTCTGTATGCTGCTGCTGCTGCTGCTGCTAAGTCGCTTCAGTCGTGTCCGACTCTGTGCGACCCCATAGACAGCAGCCCACCAGGCTCCCCCGTCCTTGGGCTTCTCCAGGCAAGAACACTGGAGTGGGTTGCCATTTCCTTCTCCAATGCATGAAAGTGAGAAGTGAAAGTGAAGTCACTCAGTCGAATCTGACTCTTAGCTACCCCATGGACTGCAGCCTACCAGGCTCCTCTGTCCATGGGATTTTCCAGGCAAGAGTACCAGAGTGGGGTGCCATTGCCTTCTCCCCTGCTTCTGTATATGACAACTTTTGGTCACTTGAGTACATGGCCTCTCCATCCTTTCCTTGAACTGTTCCATGAGTAATGTCTTGCTTCCTGAACTGTATGCTAGTAGGTTCTTCAGATGATGAATGAATTATGGATGGCATTTCTTCCCTAGCCCCACTGCAAAATTATACCATAGATCTCTGGTCATCTTTCAACTGATAAAGAAGAGTTTGTACCAGGTACCCCTTTCTCACTGCCTGGTACCTTCCTCTGTTACCTCTGAGTCCTACCATGAACAAGTCATGAAACTTTAAGATTGTAAAGCCCACTTTGCTTTTTGGACTCCTTTTTTTGAGGTAATCATTCCTAAAAACAGAATTTGATTCATGTTTTGGATTTTCTGGATTGTTCCACAGAACCCATATAGCTGCAAACATTATCTAAGTAGGGTTGGCTGTGTTTTCAAACTTCTGTATTTATTCAAAAGTCTGAATGGAGTATAGGAAAACATAGGACTGCAAAAAATATATCCTGAGTCTTAAAAACACATGGCCACAAGTCAGAGTGGGAAGAAACCTTTTAAAGTCCTTGTTTTTTTTTCTCTCTCAGTGGTTGTATCACTTTGTTTTTGTTTTTTGGTTTTTTTTTTTTAATAAATGAAAGAATTAGAACTTGGCACAGCCGATCTCAGGACCCGAAACTGTAGTGCTAGTTAGAGAGAGGGAAAGACCTTATGATGTCTTGCAGCAAGGTGATGTGATTTGGTATTACATTCTGATGCTTCCCGGGCTTCGCACGTGACGTTAGTGGTAAAGAACCTGCCTGCCAATGCAGGAGACCTAAAGAGATGCTGTTTCCATCACTTGGTTGGAAAGATTCCCCTGGAGAAGGGAATGGCAACCCACTCCAAAATTCTTGCCTGGAGAATCCCATGGACAGAGGAGCCTGGTGGGCTACGGTACATAGGGTCACAAAGAGTTGGACACAACTGAAGCAACTTAGCACGCATGCACATCTGATGCTTCCCACGGCCCCTCCTTTCTTGGAATCAGTTCTCCTCTGGGTCAGGTGTGCCCAAGCCTAGTCATACACACACACTTTGAAGCTGCCTGCTGGTTTTCTGGGCCCTTTCTGGGAATGATCCAGACTCAATATGGTTGTTTACTTCCCTCTCTGTGTGCAGAAAGGAACACATACCCCTTTGTCTCTCTCAAGGCACAAATCTGAGATTTTACAGCTCATCAGGAGATCTGCTCTTGATTTTCTACAGAAAATGGCAGCTTACTATTTCACATGTCACTGATTCTACTTGTGGTTCAATCCAGGCACCTAGAAATGATTGTCCACAATTTTTCTAAGTGTCTTCCAATAGGACCTTACTGTAGTCCTAGATTTCCTCTGAATGCATATTGAATAGAGATCTCTAAGTCTATAAATGGCCATCTTATCAACCCCAGGCCTCCCTCTTTGAGCCTCAACTGTGGATATAAAACGATGGGTTGGGACTAATTCTGGGAGATTTGAGAGTCAGGGAGGTCTGAAGACCAATTTGATGATGCTTTAGTTCAATTCATCAAGTGATGGATTCATTTCATTTTTAGCATATCCGCTTCAGCAAGATCTGAAATGCGTGCTGGTAACCAGGGTGTTGACGTAGCAGTAGTAAACATTTTTACAGAAACTACAAAGGAAAATGAGACAACCATATCAAATGCCATTAGAAATGCGATTAATGCACAACCAAGTAACTTTTCAGGATATGACCGTAAGTATTAAATAATTTTATTCAACACTTACCTGAAGACCTATCTACATTTTCTATTATAAATAAATAGAAGTAAATTTTTATAAGTAAATTTTTTACTTTACTTGTGAAGGGGGCCAGATAATTATCCACAGACATCTCTGAGTTTTCTCTGAAACTGTCCTTTCTTCCTCCCTCCCTTTCCCCAGTCACTTGACTTCTGCTCATTTATAACCATCCCCTAAGTCATCAAACTGACTAGTTTCTTCCTCTTCTTCGAAGGTAGCCTTGGATAAATAGCCTCTGGACTGGGAAAGATGAAGAAAGGAGGAAACAAGAGAGCTCTATACCAAGTTACAGCTTTCCAAATGCTTATAGAAAGTTTACCTACACAATTTCCCCTTTAGGCAGATGCACATGCCCACAGGAGAGCTATAACAGTTTACTTTTGCTGGTTTATAAACTCACCAACCAGGCCTGGCCTTTCTATGAGCCCCTGTGACATGGAAAACACACAGACTTTTTATTTGCTCATTTTTTATTTTTAACCCTTTGCTCTTTGTAATTGGATTTTTGTTGTTGTTGTTTTGGGTTTTGCTTGTAACAAGCCTGAACTCATTTGGGACTCTGGACTGTCATACTTTTAATATTCCACCTTTGGTTTCAGGACTTTCTTTTTATATTTTGTTTATGTCTCTCCTCTGAGAACTTCCTGTGCAAACCATGCCAGTTTCTTAAATTACCTGGGCTTCTCCCACTTTTTTTTTTTAATAGCTTATTGGGGGTCATTTGCAGCTGCACAGTTAGGATTACATTTTCTTTTTTTTTTTTCATTTATTTTTATTAGTTGGAGGCTAATTACTTCACAACATTTCAGTGGGTTTTGTCATACATTGACATGAATCAGCCATGGAGTTACATGTATTCCCCATCCCGATCCCCCCTCTCACCTCCCTCTCCACCCGATTCCTCTGGGTCTTCCCAGTGCACCAGGCCCGAGCACTTGTCTCATGCATAGGATTACATTTTCAAAGCTTCTTACTTTCCTGAACTGTTTTCATCTTCCAGAGTCTCATACCATGGAACTATACCTTAGCATTTCTGAACATTTCAATATTTACTCTCTCAAAGATATACTCCTCTTTCTGGCTATCACTTGGTCCTTGTCTTCCAAGGAACCAGTCACTTCTGCCTGCCAATAAATTTCTCCTTGGGGGTCAAAATTTGGTCCAGAGTAGCAATTCATGTAGTCAGAATAGCTATACCCACCTGGAAGATGAAATTGTCAGCAGGGCAAGACGAAACCTTACTGTACACCTTGCTTTTGGCTAGATGAGATTTCTAGCAAGTGTGAGGAAGTTGAGAGTCCTGATCAGCTTGGGGATTGGCCACTCTTAATGGTCATCAAATGAAAATATCCAGTGTGTTCTTCAAGATAAAGTTAGGGTTCCCTTTGCAGTTCTCTCATTTGGCTCTACTTGAACTGCCTTAGCTCTGAGCCTGGCAGACTTGAAACCATCGGCCTCAGCTCTAAGAACTGCTCTTTTTGACAACTCCTCTTGGCATCTCTCCACTCTGAGACCAGGCATGTGCTCTCAGATACATTAACAGATTATCAAATAATGCCAGCTAAAGATGGCCACAGGAGCACAAACCACCCAGCACGTGGAAGGGAGAGCCCAAAACTTTTAGAGAAAAACACCTTTCACTGCTCTCTCATTTCAGCTGCAAAGACAGAGTCTGTCTTCTGTGTCAACAGCTGTAAAATCTCTTTCTCTGGGTTTTTATTTAGAGGTATTTTCAAACAGCAGGTGATAAAGGAAGTTTAGTTACAGGCTTGGGATGTTTGGAAGAGAGTAACCACATATCTTCTACCTGCTCCTATTCTCTCCCCCTAATCCATTCTCAGATTCATCTTTTTGTCCCCAATGCCTTCCAATCTGTTTCTAGACTAACATTCTTAAAAGATGATTTTCTTAAGGCCATGCTTCTGCTCAGAATCTACAATGGATTCTCAGACTTGTAGGATAAAAGTCAGTGGCCTTAACCTAGCCTTCTAACTCTGCTATACCAATGAATGAACAAAGGAATGATTATTTGTTGAGTCTCCTATAGTAAACACTTGCATTAGCCCCATTTCACAGGTGGAAGGGACATTGAACCAAAAAAAATCAAATGATTGAACAAAAAGCCTCCAGACAATCAACTGCAGAGCCAAGAATTCTATTTTCTTCCACCTCACCTCACTGCCTCTCTCCTGCCCAAGTACAGTCCCATCACTCCCAGACAACAATCCTTTCCTTCTTTTCATCCCTTGTTTACTTCACTTAGACTTTGCCTCAGACTATTAAAATCTTTCCTCTTTCAAGACTTAGCCCAAATTCCACCTTCTCCATGTTATCTTTAGCTATCTGAGCCCCTGAATTCCCATTGTACTTAAAGTCTGTGCTACAAGTTGCTGGTTGCAACTTTCTATGGGTACAAACATGTAACTCTCTGAAGATGGGGTCCAAAACTTAGGCAGCTACTGTGTCCTTTGTGGAACCCAGCAAAGAGCTAGATGCAAAAGAGAATTTGAACACAGTTCTACTGCATAAGATTGAATTAATTTTAATTGAATAATATAAGGAAATATTTACAGAAGAGACCCACTGGGGAGCTGAATTTCAGAATCTTGGGTTTTCATTGGTTGAATCCCAAAATGTGTTAAAAGGCAGTGATGACCACAATGGAACAGAGTGTTTTCACAAGTTACCTTATCCATATTGTCTTGCTAAGTATGTCTTTTAATTACTTGTGCCTCTCAGAGCAAGATCGGTGTGATTACTATGGTTGTAAAAAACCAAATGACCAAAATGACTGTGACAGTGATGTACTATGTGAGTGCCAAGAGGGGCTGGTGAGACCAAACCCACAGATGCTTATGTGTCTTGGTAAGTGTTCCATCTGCTTCAAATGGTTCACCTCCTTCCCCTTTCCTTCTGCATTCTCACAAAGTACACACTTTCCTGCTCAAGCTTCCATGTGCATTTCAGAGTCTGAGGGATGTGAATTTTGGCTTTTGTCCTATGGGCCTGGAGGGAGCCTTGGGTAAGAGCTGGTGAGGAGGTCCACATACCACTTCACAGCCACTGAGCACCTAGTTTCACCCAGAAAAAGCAATGTAAAAAATTATATTCTGCGATGTGTCACTTTGGGGTTGAAGAGGCTGTTTCTGAAAATTACCCAGAAATCACTCTCTTTTGAAGATTTGGGTCCAACGTGTCCTGAAACCTGCAATGAACAGAGCAAGAAGCAATGCCTAGTGACGAACAGCACGAGTGCTTACTGCATGTGCCTGCCAGGCTACGAGGAAGATAGTAAAGGGATTTGTCAAAAGTAAGAGAAATCACCCCTTTTTCATCTTTTCATCGCTAAGTCTAGGCGAAAAGGACAGAGCTTATAATGTATGTATGAGTTTAGGTTGGGAAGTTGGTTCACTGGCACAAGGTACAGAGCATCACCACCACCATCATCAATTTTTTAAAATTTATCTGTGTGCTGGGAACTACAATAGGTATTGCTTCTCAAATAACAACTTCAGGAATGTATTCATTCCCCCATTTTCAAGTGATAAAACTAAAGCTCAGAGAATATGAATGGCAAGTCCCCGCTCACACGGCAGCAAATAAGTAGCAGAGTGAGCCATGTGGTCTCACAGCTTGAGGGGTCCCACTAAGTGCTAGGCCTCTGGGAACCAGCTTCACCCAAACCGATGGATCCTCCCAGTGCTCTGAAGATGGAGCACTCAGATGGTAGCAAATGGAACCACACAGGACTGTATGCCACCTCAGCCTTCCCGAGAGCCATGAAAGGTACTTACCTGGAAGATCAGGGTGCAGAAGGAAGAAAAGAGAAAGAGGAGAAAGAACAGGGAGGAGACAATGAAAGAAGGATGCATGGAAGACATGGAGGTCGGGTAGGAACTCTGACCTGCTTTCATAAGGTTCTTTACCACAGTTTCCTATTCCTTTTTGTATTTTAGGTGTGCATTTGGCTACAGTGGAATCAATTGTAAAGACTGTGAGTAGAAAAGTCTTGCTTTGTTATTAAACTTCTGAGAAACAGACATTGACCACATTCAAAATTCTGTCCAGTCCCCCAAAGTCTCTGACTTTTTTCATAAAGAGAGAGAAAAATCTGCCTGGAGTTTGTCTTCTGGGTCAGGCCAGTCCATGCCCACACTTAGGTCATAGGTAGAGCCTCTCAGTTATGGGAAACAATAGAACTCAGACCAAGAGACAGGCTGGAACCCCTGGACTTGTCCCAGGCCAAAGAAGTTTGTCCCAACATTGCATTCATTTCCTGCATTAGATTAAATATTCATTGTCTGCTACTAGAAAAGGTAAAGACCAGTATAATCCAAAAATGTTTATGTTCATAGTGGAGCAAAACTAGAAACCAGACATTTAAATACTCAAATCATCCTTTTGTTTTGCTAGTGTTTTTTAACAATTTTTTTCCTTTTTCCAAGTTTGGAATATGTTGTTGTAAATTCAGTTGCTTTGTTCCCTCTCATCCCCTACCCTCACTAGACTGGGACAATACCAACTGTATTATATTTTAAATTTTATATAATGAACTAAACGATCAATGACCCAAGGTGAAGGAAATATTTCTGTTAGTTTCCCAGCCAGTCACAAAGTTAGTGATTAGAAATGCTTTTCTTTTCTACTGTATTTTTTGTGAGCCTGGGTTTGATAAGTCATTTCTTCCTTCTGAGCTTTCAGTGTCTCCACCTATAACATGAGAAATTTGAATCAGATGACCTTTGAGGCTTTTTTCAAGACGTAATGATCAATGGCCCCATGCATCCTGGTTAGTGAGAGGTGACATAAAGGGCAGTCATGGAGCAGGAAGAATCAAAGGTATCTAGAGCAGCACTGACCAATAAAAATACAACATGAGCTTCAGACTTAATTTCAGATTTTAAAAATTCTATGTGAATTTTTAAAAGTAAAGAGAAATAGGTGAAATTGATTTCTAATAAAATTCTATTTCACTCACTATATGAAAAATAGTATCATTTTAGCAGGCAATCAATATAAGAATTATTATTAGAGATATTTTGCAGTTTTTTCATACTATGTGTTTGAAATCTGCTGTGTACTTTACACTGACATGCTATACCAGGATGACGTTTTAAGTGCTCAGGAGCACTAGACAGAGCAGATCTAGAGGAGACTGAGCGGTAATGAACCTCCAGACTCTTCCCTCACCAATTACATCCAGCCTTTACCTGGCTCCTCTATTAGTGACAAATTTAACTCCAACGTAGTTCCCCTAAGTTTATCAGCAAAATCAGTTATGGCGGCAGGCAAGGCAGCAGAGGTAAGGACCTCAGGTGAGTGGACCTCAGGTGAGATCCCACTCCCTATGAAGCCCAGGAAGATCCTGCCACCATGGCCTCCTTTGTCTTTATGGTCTTCTTTTGTCTGGCAAGTTTGTCTCTTCTGACTGAGTTCTAAAGACACTGTTGGGGGTGACGGTGGACAGAGGGTTAAAGGAAGTGAGCCACCCACTCATCCTGGCCCTGGAAGGGGAGTCACAGTCCAGAGCCCCATTGTGTTCTTGGCACCTGTGCAGTAGACGGGGGAAGCTGTTCCTACTCTTCTCTTTTCCCTTTCAGCATTTCAGCTGATCCTCACAATCGTGGGCACCATTGCTGGCATCATCATTCTTGGCATGGTGATTACACTCATCGTCTCAATGAGGTATGGGACAAAGTGTCCTTTTCTTGGGTCACAGCCACCAGCACTACACTCTGGTTTCCAAACACACCCAGCCTTTCCCAGGCAAGAGAAGGAAAATAAGGCGAGACCTCTCTGATACCATTGACCTTTTATCGTCAGAACTTTCTTCTGATTCTATAAGCTACACATGATTCACTAAGGAAAATAGAACATGTGTAAGAGAGCAAAATAAAAAAATCACCCACAAAACTCACCACCCTGAAACAACCAACATTTTGGAATACATCCTTCTAGGTTTTTGGCTACTGTTCAAAATGAATTTTGTATCTTTTGTGCTTTTAAATTTTTTGTTGAGGTTTGTTTTTGCTTAATACTATAATGTGACATCAGTGTTAGTTGCTCAGTAGTGTCTGACTCCTTGTGACCCCATGGACTGTAGCCCGCCAGGCTCCTCTGTCCACAGGATTCTCCAGGAAAGAATAATGGAGTGGGTAGCTATTCCCTTCTCCAGGGGATCTTCCCAAGCCTGGGAGTGAACCCAGGTCTCCTGCATTGTAGGCAGATTCTTCACCATCTGAGCCACCAGGGAAGCCTATAAAGTGACATAGCAACCATTTACTGATGTCATTAAAAATGCTTTGGGTAGTTTGGGAATTTTTGAGCATGAGCCACTCATTCTCCTTGTTTGCCCTACAATAAACCTTTATTTAGGGCTTCCCTGTGGCTCAGATGGTAAAGCGTCTACCTGCAATGCAGGAGACCCAGGTTCGATTCCTGGATTGGGAAGATCCCCTGGAGAAGGAAATGGCAGCCCACTCCAGTACTATTGCCTGAAAAACGGTCACCTGAGGAGTCCATGGAGTCGCAAAGAGTCGGACATGACTGAGGGACTTCACGACACGATGACGATGAAAACTTTATTTGCTCAGAAAAAAAAAAATCAAACAAAAAACTATTTTGTTGGCAATATTTAACTCCATTGATACTGTCAAATATAATTTTCATCAAGTCACCCCTGCCCAGAATCTCACTGCAAATAGCCTAACACCCCTGGTGGCTCAGATGATGAAGGATATGCCTACAATGCAGGAGACCTGGGTTTGATCCCTGGGGCAGGAAGATCCCCTGGAGAAGGGCGTGGCAACCCACTCCAGTATTCTTGTCTGGAGAATCCTATGGACAGAGGAGCCTGGCAGGCTACAGTCCATGGGGTCACAGAGTTGAACATGATAGAGTGACTAACACAAGGACAAAGATACCTCAGCTGAGCCTCCTGGGTTTTAAGGAGAAACATTATCTCTGCATGGTGTTTTTTCAGTTTGGTGCCTTAAGTACCCTTTTAAAAAACTTAAATAGGGTTCATTCATTCATTCTACACTTAGATAAAGTTCCCTCCATTAACAGGGATGGAATGCTATCTTCTATTCCATTCTAGATATGCCAAGTGAGGAGCCACTCTGATTAAAAAAAAAAAAAATGAAAAGCTACTTTTTAAAAGTAGCATTTGGCTCATAGCTTATATTTTGGCAAATAGGTTTTCTTGCACTGTAATATGAGAGGACAAATAGTTTTCATTCCTAAAATATTTTGTTTCTTCTTTTTTTTCTCTCTCTTTCTCTCCATTTTGTTATTAACTCTTCCCCAGAGACTTGATTGCAAGGATGCCAAGCTGGGAACTGGGAACATGGCCTTCCCTTTCCCAGGGGGAGGGGGGCCAGGACATTCATCTCCAGAGTAAGGCTGCCTCCTCCATGGTGGACTGGCTCACTGCCATGGTCTCCAGGGCCCTCAGGAGCTGCAATAGAGCTTGTGTCCCGGAAAACAGCCTTGGTTCTCAGTTCCCTCTTCCTGCTGCAGAGCCTGGTTTTGCTCTTAGCTCAGCCTTGGATTCATTACTCCCGAAGCCCTCCAAGAATTAGAATGTCTTGTCCATTCCTAAGGGAAGGGAGCCTCTTCTCAGCCACCTTAGACAGGAATGTTGTCACAGGGAAGAACTCTGTGGTGGGCTAGGCTGGCTATCAGGGTCAGCAGGTGAGTGGGTCTTCTTGTACAACACCCCAGTGTCTGAGAGTCACCTTGGGACTGCCCTGCGGCCTTTACGGATGCCTCTGGCCCTACCGCCCACTCTAACAGAGCAGCACTGTGGGTGACTGTGGGCCAGAAGGAAAGAAGGGTCATGATCAGAGTTAACTGGTGCGGAGGCAAGTGCCTCCCTCACCTCAAATCTTTTCACTTGGCATTGAATGCTTACATTTGAGGTCCTTGAGGGCTCGCAGCAGATCCTGGGAAACTTCTATTTCTCCTTAAGACATTTATGCCTTGAATTCATCTTATTCATTGAGGTGCTACTATAGAATTGACTTTGCTTGAATGAAAAACTGTATCACAAATCATCCTTTTTCTTTAACTTTTATTATCATTTCCATAAGGAATTCAAAGGCACACTGAAGAATACTAACATTACTAGCAAAATGTAATATAACAGGCAGAATTATTAATAGATGGTTACATGGAGCTTATGAGGAGAGTCAGGGAATCTACACTGCATGAAGTACTGAAGTATTACCAGTAATGGACATCAGGTCTGTAGCTTATTCTTAAATGGTTCAGGAATGTTAACAGTTGGGGACTCTGGGTGACAGATGTATGGGAGCTTTGTGTAATTTTTGTTGTTGTTGTTGTAACTTACATGTAAATTTGAAATTATTAAAAAAATTTAAATATTGAAAAAAGAATATTAACATTTGCTTCAAGGAACTTGCCGCCACTGTCAGATCTTAATTTCTGTTACCAATTATAGGTTAAAGAACAAAGGCAAGAATGGGGAAGAAGAGACCTTGATTGAGAAGGACTCGCAAAATCTGAGACTCAAGGAGACTGGCTTTAGCAATCTAGGCGCAGAGGGGAGCATCTTCCCTAAGATCAGGGTGAACCTGCCCAGAGACAACCAGCCAGAGAACCCCTACACAAGGCCGGGTATTCTACCCAGACCAGACTATTAGGTGAGTATTGTGTGCTTTCTATTTGCCTTTGTTGAGTGAAATGCCCCAGGGCAGACTTGGTACCTGGCTACTATATCAGCAGCAACCCTGGCTGCCCCGTAGACCTTTTTTATTTTTAATCAGGAAGCTATTATAATTAGCCACCAATTGGTCCCTAACACTGACCATCTATGTGACTTTAGACATACCACTTAATTTCTTTTATCATCTATTTCCTCAGCTGTAAAAAGGGAAGCTTAATTCAGATGCCCTTAAGGTCTCTTTAAATTATATATTTCTTGGGCTATAACTCCAGTGGTTGTGATGATAATTCCTAGACTGCTGAAGGCCCTAGGACCCAACCTAGGTCTGGTCAGGGAAGGACTGTTGGATGTAAGCATGGTTCTGTTTACATGGGTCCTTTCCAGACAGCCCACATAAAGGCAAATCTCTCCTCTCCTTCCCACCCAGACCACAAGGCAACCTGGTCAATTTCTAAAGTAACAAGTGAGGCTGGTAATATTTTCTTTCCCTTGGGAGGACTTTCAAGGTAAATAGCTTGTCCTCGTGAGATCTGTATTAGAGAACTGTAGCCGGCATTGCTCAGTGTGACCAAATGAAATACTGAAAGGAGAAAGCCTGCCAGAGGAAACTCCTGCAAGGAGGGTGACAAGTCAGAAGGAAAAGGAGAAGGGGCTGGAGAAGAGGAAGGGGAAACAGAAGAGGCAAGAAGAAAAATGACTTGTTTAAAAGAGGAAGAGTGGGAAGAAAGAGGAAGAAGGAAGGGTGAGGCCTCCCAGGAGAGAAGAAAAATAAAGAGGCTGAGGAGAAGGAGGACCTAGGAGGTTGGGCGAAGGGCTGGGGAAGGGGTCACAACATCCCCACCTCCCAGGTTTGAGCTCAGCTTCTGCAGGTGGCCCAAGCGAGCAGGTCATCCTTTGAGAGTCTTAATGCACTTTGAATATTCTGGGAAAATCTGAGTTGTTTTTATTTTAAAATCTCATGGTTGATTTTCCTTTAGTCATGGACTCTAAGTGTTTCACGTATGCATGAAGGGGTGATTTGCACAAAGTGCACCATGTGGGGTTGGACACAGGGTCCAGTCAGCAGTAGTCGAGAAAGGATGTCCCACAGACGCCTGTTGGTCCTACCTGAGGTGAACCTTCCGTTGAACTCACTTCAAGCCTCCTTTTCTCTACACTGGTGGAATGCTTACTTCAAGTATTACCTCTGAAGAAAGGCCTTTAGTGCTTGAGTACGCATGGGATTTAGAATCCGACAGACCTGGTTCACAGTCTGACCCTTCCTGTTCTGAGCTGTGTGATCTCTGACAGGTTATTTGACTTCTCTGGGTTAGTTTACTCATCTGTGAAATGGACTAAATGAAGCCTACTTCAGAGGATAAAGATCAAATAAGCCAAAGTGCATAAAGAGCTATTTGAATAATATTATTCAATAATATTTAAAACAATGTTAATCACTTATGAAACTAAATTTTCTTATACATTTCTGTTGGAATACTTCCTTTCTAAGAGTTTCCCTCCCCTCTCTCATTTTGTCTAGAATTTTGTAAGAATTTGGATCCATCCACAGCCCCTCAACCTAACATATGAGTTTTTATTTTGAATGTTCAAAAGACTGATGGAGAAGGGAGCAGCCTTGAAGATCTGGCCTTTGGTACTTCTCTTCCATCAAACATCTAGCCTCTCCGAATGGAAGTTGTGACTATTTACAATGAATACAGCTTGTTTGCTAACTAAGTACCTATGAAATTAAATGCATATAGATACTGTGAGCATTTGCAAGATAGTTGATTTGCTCCAGTCAGGACAATGGTTAGTTTTTCTTCCTGGTGGGGCAACAATAACCATTTCCTATCTAGAAGGAAGCTCCCCAGGATTATTCACTCCTGGAAGAGTCTAGAAGAATGTTGCTTGGAGTTGATACACTGCAGATAAGTGGCGTAATTTTGGAAGACTCTTACACACCAGCTATGGAGGTCCCAGGCAATGGGAAGAGATACCATCCTTCAAGGTGCTCAAGTTCATTCTCCGGCAAGTTAAAACAGAGATGCTACTTCTGTTCCTCAAATATAGGGATTTCATTCCCCTGCCGGGAGTTTGTGGCCTGGCCTCACACCCAGGGGACAGAAAAAGAGACATGTCTCTTAGTTTTTGAGGAGCAGTTACTGGCAATCCAGGACCTTCTTAATGTCAGCTAGAAGGCCTGGACTGAAAATGTCCCTCGAGCCTTGTGATACAGATTCCAGAGGTACTTCACCAAAGCTTCGGCCTTCCCTCAGAGGCTCAGCAGCGGCCACCAACATACACACAGCCAAGAATGGGGACAGTCACCTCGAGCACAGTCTTTCTTTAATGTTAACAGTATCCTTGTTTCTGTCTAATGTTCTGTCTCCTTGCAAGTTATTTTTTATTATTATTAGTATTTGTTCTTGACTGTTAACTATAAAAGATAACAAATAAAGTGTCTTTAATAGCTGGTGTACTTCCTTGTGTTTGGGACTTGGGATGATGCAAATGGCAGTTAAGTTTCACTTTTAATAGCAAACCTGACATGTGGTAAACCAAATTGATTAACATCTGGTCATTAGGTGCAGTTGCATTACCCAAGGTAATTTAAAAATAAAAAATTTGGCTGCACTGGGTCTTTATTGCAGTATGTGGGCTTTTCTTGTGGAACACTGGCTCTAGAGCACATGGGCCCAGTAGTTATGGTGTGCTGGGTTAGTTTCACTGTGGTGTGTGGGATTTCGGTTCCCCGACCAGGGATCGAACCTTCATCCCCTGCATTGGAAGGCAGATTCTTAATCACTGAACCACCAGAGAAGTCCCTACCCAACGTAATTTTTTTTTTAATCATAGAGTAGACATTTCTGGCTTCTTCCCCTGCATATCCCACCACTCTTCCATTATGAAGCAACCAAGCATTTTGAATGGGACTGATCCAACCCCCCGAGCCTCAGCTTCAAATGTAGGCCTTGGTTGGCTCAAGCCTTTCAGTGGAATCCCATGCCCCCTTGCCACAGTGATCGACTTAGTGAGCACACAGCCTAAGTGGATACAATTAGAATAAAGCTTAAATGTTGGTAGGAGACTTGTGGGAGGAGAGAGTTCTGGAGAAGGGGTTGAGCTATGAGGCCTTGAACTGCTTCAGTTTTGCTGAACTGACACATACAGGGCAAAACTGAGAGAATCATGGGGAAATGGAGCTGGTGCTCTGATCAGACCATAGCTGAAGGCTTTAGATTTTACTTTTAGGCCAGTTTGAAAATTATTTCTCTTCTTGCAGGTGAAAGCAGCCTCACTGAATCGATACAGCTAGGGTTTACTCTTGTATTCTCAAGGCTAACTGGTGAACAGAATAAAACAAACACACTCATATGAGCTATTAATGCCCACAGTAAAGACATATGTTATCAATCAATGAGTTGATAGAATTAATGCAGACATAACTTAAAATTGACTGACCACTGTAACTTGTCAAACTACCATACAATTGTGCTCATTTCACATACTAGCAAGGTAATGCTCAAAATCCTTTAAGCTAGGCTTCAACAGTACATGAACGGAGAACTTCCAGATGTTCAAGCTGGATTTAGAAAAGGCAGAGGAACCAGAGATCAAATTGCCAACATCCACTGGATCATAGAAAAAGCAAGAGAATTCCAGAAAAACATCTGCTTCGTTGACTACACTAAAGCCTTTGACTGTGTGTATCACAACAAATTGGGGAAAATTCTTAAAGAGATGAGAATACCAGACCATCTTACCTGCCTCCTGAGAAATCTGTATGCAGGTCAAGAAGCAACAGTTAGAACTGGACATGGAACAACAGACTGGTTCAAAATTGGGAAAGGAGTACATCAAGGCTGTATATTGTCACCCTGCTTATTTCACTTATATGAAGAATACATTATGCAAAATGCCAGGCTGGATGAATCAACAGAGGGAATCAAGGTTGCCCAGAGAAATATCAACAACCTCAGATATGCAGATGATACCACCCTAATGGCAGAATGCGAAAAGGAACTAAAGAACCTCTTGATGAAGGTGAAAGAGGAGAGTGGAAAAGCTGGCTTAAAACTCAACATTCAACAAACAAAGATCATGGCATCTGGCCCCATCATGTTATGACAAATAGATGGGGAAGAAATGAAAAAAGTGACAGACTATTTTCTTGGGCTCCAAAATTACTGCGGACGGTGACTGCAGCCATGAAACTAAGATGCTTGCTACCTGGAAGAAAAACTATGACAAACCTAGACAGGATATTAAAAAGCAGAGAGATCACTTTGCTCACAAAGGTGTGTATAGTCAAAACTATGGTTTTTCCAGTAGTCATGTACGGATATGAGAGTTGGACCATAAAGAAGGCTGAGCACCAAAGAGTTGATTCTTTTGAACTGTGGTGCTGCAGAAGACTCTTGAGAGTCTCTTGGACAGCAAGGAGATCAAACCAGTCAATTCTGAAGGAAATCAACCCTGAATATTCATTAGAAGTGCTGAAGGTGAAGCTCTGATACTTTGACCACCTGATGTGAAGAACTGACTCAATGGAGATGACCCTGATGCTGGGAAAGATTGAGGGCAAGAGGAGAAGGGGGCGACAGAGGATGAGATGGTTGGATGTCAACATCGACTCAATGGACATGAGTTTGAGCAAACTATGGGATATAGTGAAGGACAGGGAAGCCTACTATGCTGCAGTCCATTGAGTTGCTGAGAATCAGACACGACTTAGCAACTGAACAACTGTAACTTGTCATCACAGACTCTAGTTCTGACACACATGTTACCTCCTTTACATTTGAAGATGATTCTGGATTTAGTGCTAAAAGTAGGCTATTTGAACTTCTTCTTTAAGAGTCCCACCTGTCTCATGCTCCTCTTCAATACACTATGTCAGTTTCCATCACTTCTCAAAGGTCCTGGGACATTCAAAACTCTGGGCTTCATGGACCAGAGTACACTCATTCTTGGGAGTCTTTCATTGCTATTGTG